ACAAATTTGAACTGCATCAGTTTCCGTCCACTTCTGACATTCATTATGCTAATTGACAAGCCACTAATTTCACTAATGGAAACCCATTTCTCACTTTAATGATGCTAATTAGCAAAGCTTCAGGGGTCCTGGAGAGTTAAAAAGGAACTGAAATCCTGGAGGGAACAGCACCTATGGAGCCTGGGATTTCTGATTAGATCCTAGTTGACGACTCCTTGAGGGTCTGTCTATTCCTAGGATGGTTGTCTGTCCCAGAATGTAATTTAAACTAATTTCAGAAACACATAGCTGTCTTATATTGTCTCTACCCAAGTGTTTTAAAGTAAATTTTAGACATCCTAACCAGCAGTTAGCTATTCTGGGAAACCAGGAGGAGGGCAGGTTCTCTGTACCATGGTATTAGGGCTCCACCTGGAGGGGTGGCTGTGGCAGGCAGAGGATCTCCCACAGCCCCCTTGCCACCCTCATTTTTCTTAGCAGCACCCTAGTTTTTTCTTTGACCTTAGAAGGGGCAGTTTATATCAGAAAGGACTTTCCAGTTGATTTGATGAATGCATATTTTATCTGATTCTGGAGTCAGGGTCACTTTATCTGAAGCATGGGGAAAATTCTGGTCCTTCTTATCTTCAAAGGGAGCAATAAGCATTGCTTGGTTTAAACAGGACATCATTTAATGATGCCCAGTCCAGACACATGGGATTTCCAGTTCATTTGCATTTACCTGGTGTAGTTTCTGGTGGCTTTGATCATATTGGGTCATCATGCATGAAGGTGAATTCTTCCTGCCCAGAGTAGAACTTAAGAATTCGTTCTTGTTAGAATTGTTGCCTAACTTCACCAGAACTCAGGACCTCTGATGCATGACTGTGAATCAGTACAGCAGAGCTGTTTGTCTCATTATGTACTTTACTGAGTAGGGCCTAGAGCCAGTGACTCTCAGAAGTAGTTGGAAATTGAGTTATCAGGAAGAATTTTCTAAATTTATAGGAAGTACAGGGCTGGACCCCAGGTAACTCACAGGAAGGGAAACCCCTTTCCTGTTTATACCTTCCAGTGTTTAGATTAGAAGAAGGAGGGGAAAAAAGTACTGGAAAAGAATCATCTCAAATTATAATGGGACACCAGAATTAGATTTTTGGGGGAGGGGGGTTACCAGGAATTGCATTCAGGGGCACTCGACCACTGAACCACATCTCCAGCCCTATTTTGTATTTTATTTAGAGACGGGGTCTCACTGAGTTGCTTAGTGCCCTGCTTTTGCTGAGGCTGGCTTTGAACTTGCAATCCTCCTGCCTCAGCCTCCCGAGCCACTGGGATTACAGGCATGTGCACCACCCAGGCTTACATTTTTAACCAGCAACCAGTATTTTTAATATCTTGGGTTGACAGATCACAGAACCTAACTTACTATTTTTTTTGTTGAGATGTAATATTTGTACATCTTTACCTGGTATATTTATGGTAATTCAACATGCATCAAATCAGAATCATATACACTTTCATCTTGGGGAATTTCATATACTTGTTATCATTTATGACTCAAATAAAGGCAATATTTTTTAATATTTATTTTTTGGTCATAGTTGGACACAATATCTTTATTTTATTTTTATGTGGTGCTAAGGATCGAACCCAGGGCCTCACACGTGCTAGGTGAGCGCTCTATTGCTGAGCCACAATCCCAGCCCCAAAGGCAATATGTTTGACACTAAAAACACATACCACCAAATACTCTTTGAAGATTTAAAAAATTTATATCAGGAACAGTTGTTTCTAGTTCAAAAAGGATGCGTTGAAAAAGTCCATATAAACTTTGAATTCTAAAACGAAAAGGCTGACTTGTATCTGCTCATCCATTAAGGACCACCTGAACTTCGAGGCCTTTGGCGGGGAAAGGGACAGGGATGACTTGAGGCTCAAGAAGAGAGCTCAGGGCATCCTGTGAAAATGGGCCCCGTCACTGCCACCTCCGATCAGCAAGGAAACACAGAGAGGCAAGTTGTTCACTTTGTCTGACTCTAAGTCAACTCTAGAATAGGGTCTTGCTTCCTGGGAAGCTTGGGAAGTTCAATTTTTCTTAAGGATCTCTCTTCTGAAGCATATTGTTGCTATTAATTCCTTTGTGGCCCTGAAGAAGAAGCCTCCTGCATGTTGAATGAATGGACTCATGAATAAATGAACTAGAGAATTATTTGCCTTTTGTCCCTCCACATTTTCCTCCTTCCCTTCCTCAACTATTCTGAAGTGTTTTGTGTTTCAGTAGAGCAGTGATTATTGGACCACATTTCAATCCCAGTAGCTTCCTGCTGTTTCCTAACCCCACCTGCCAAAGCTGAAAGGGTTGAGGGAAAACTGCTTTCCCATGAATTAGTGGCCAGATGAAGCTGGAGTTAAGGGCAATGTGACCTGTGTGGCTCTTGGTTGGCCTGTTTGTTCCAGTAATAACTGTACATGGAACCGGTTCATTTTGGCCTAGATTGACTTGAAATTGAATGTCAGCCAGTGTGTTTCAGGCATTCAGGTTTTTTGTAATTCTTAATGACTTATGAGAAGTTACTGATAATTTTCTTACCAAAACATAGTTTAGCTCAGTGGTTTTATTTTATTTTATTTTTTATATCTTTATTTATTTATTTTTTATGTGGTGTTAAGGATCGAACCCAGTGGGTCACATGTGCGAGGTTTTATTTTATTAAATTTTTTTTTTTTCAGTACAAGGGATTGCATTCAGGGGTACTCTATCAATGAGATACATTCCCAGCCCTTTTTATTTTTTATTTGGAGACAGAGTCTCCATAAATTATAAAGCCTGGCCTCAAATTTGTAAACCTTCCACCTCAGCCTCTTAGGTACCTGGGATTGATTATAGGCATGCACCACTGTGAACAGCTAGCTCAATGGTTTTAAAGGGGCAATGATATCTTTAGTTCATTCTAAAGATAAAAGAACCGTTAGTTATAATGATCGAAAATGAAGACCTTGGCTGAGGTTATAGCTCAGGGGCGGAACGCTTGTCTAGCATGTGTGAGGCACTGGGTTTGATTCTCAGTACCATATGTAAGCAAATAAAATATAAAGATCCATCAACCACGTGTGTGTGTGTGTATACCTTTAAAAAAATAAATAAAGACCTTAATGATTATAGTCATTAAGTACAAGACTTTGACAAAGGCCAAACTAAATCTGGAAGAACATCAAAGATCAAAAGGTGGGCTGGGGATGTAGCTCAGTGGTAGAGCGCTTGCCTAGCATATGTGAGGCACTGGGTTTGATCCTTAGCACCACATAAAAATAAACAAAATAAAGGCATTCTGTCCATCTACAACTATGAAAAAAAATTTTTTTAAAAGATCAAAAGGTATTGACAAAGAAGGAATAGCTGTTATTGTTGCCTGTTACTAGCAAAAAAAATACATGCTACTTGATTGATTCAAGTTTGAAGGAGAATGTGGTAAGTGAAGGAGGTTCCTAGTTTCTGCATAATTATTAGAGTTTTGCAATCCTGGGCGTAGAATGAATGCTCAAGCTCTTAGACCTTATGAAATAAAATTTTAATTTCCATTTCCTTGGAAGAATTTTGTAATCAATCCCTGATAATCATCATAAGGTGGTGTTTTAATATTATATTTTAATCCTCTAAAATTGTTAAAAACTTAAAATAAATGAAAATTGTACCATTTGAGAGTTTTGCATTGTACCACATCAGTAGTTCCTGGAACACCCTAGGAAACAAAGCTGACTAAGCTGTTAAGGAAATCCTTGAGGGGAGCTCAATTCAAGTTCATAATTTATTGCTGGAATTCTCTGAGATAAACCCGAGTTCTTTTTTTTTTTTTTTTTTTTTTTTTTTTTTTTTTTTTAAAGATAGAGTGAGAGAGGGAGGAAGGGAGAGAGAGAGAGAGAATTTTTAATATTTATTTTTTAGTTTTCGGCGGACACAACATCTTTGTTTGTATGTGGTGCTGAGGATCGAACCCGGGCCGCACGCATGCCAGGCGAGCGCGCTACCGCTTGAGCCACATCCCCAGCCCCTAAACCCGAGTTCTTTGATATTAAAAAAAAAAGAAAAGAAATCCCAGAATATAAAAAGTACTCTTACTAAAATAGTGTCAAATAACCGATTCCATGAGCTCAATAACTGATGGAGAGCTATGACATGTTTAAAAATGCATCAAGAGGGGCTGGAGTTGTGGCTCAGTGGTAAAGCACTTGCCTGGCATGTGTGAGGCCCTGGGTTCCATCCTCAGCATCGCATATAAATAAATAAGATAAAAGATTCATTTATAACTAAAACTGCATCAAGAAGACATGATTTTCTTAACCAACTACAAATTGGAGATATCAAATACAAAGCATTTTAGAAACCAGAGGGGTGGTGTCAGGGGTGACTGGCTTTTCAAACAACAGTCCACTAAGGAGTATTGTTTTGATGCAGCCCCTGAGAACAGAACTATGTAGACAGTGGCTTTGGTTGTGGTGTTTAATGCACACGGTCAGTTACGGCCATGGCAGTGGGGCACTCTAGTGAGAAGGGCCACTGAAGGGATCTACTGTTTTCTAGTATTTTATGATGGAAAGATTTTCTTGTCTCTGGCAGAGAATGGTGTTTTTAAGACTTGTTCATGCAAAAAGACCTTCTTTTTATAACCGGGGACATGTACAGAGCCCAATGACAAAGCCTTAGTAGTTGGCTATGAACTATTTTGGAAGACCGTGGTGCATCAATTATGTAACCTCTTCCAAGTTAGGAGATCAGATTTTAAAATGGAGCCAACATCCATTGAGCATCCAATAAACAAGATGGAATCTGTAAATTCGAGAGGGTTAGGCACCTGTTCCCACCACAAAATTAATATTTGAGATATTACTAGGAGGGAGATCTCTACTTAACAACACTTGCTGGTATTGTTTCAGGTTTTCTTCCTGAATGAACGACTCAGCAGTCATATACCTAAGAGAAGCAACATTTAACCCTGACTTTTGTTTTCTCTTTATTCTAGAAGCCCCCGCAGCTTTCTGAGGATGATATCCAGCTGAAAACCGAGAGAGACAGCTGTCGTGCCAATCTCCTGGAGCCTGCTCCCAGATCTCTTCCCTCAGATCACCAAAACATGGAAATTGAGGTGTCTGTTACAGAATGTAAAAGCGTTCCTGGAATCACCTCTACCCCCCATTCCGTGGACCACCCCTCCCCATTCTATTCACCCCCTCACAATGGCCTCCTCCCTGATCACCACGAGTCCCTGGATAATGATGTGGCCAGAGAGATCCGATATCTAGATGAGGTGCTGGAGGCCAACTGCTGTGATTCTTCGGTGGAGGGAACCTACAACGGGACATCCTCCCCAGAGCCTGGCGCGGCCACCCTGGCGGGCAGCCTGAGCCCACCAGCCCACCCAGCCACCCAGCCGGAACCTGCCGAGGGAGCCGCGGGCAGGCAGGCACCCCCGCACATCGAGCTCAGCAGAAGCCCCTCTGACACCATGGCCGAGACGGAAAGAGTGAATGGCCATCCCCCCGACCAGCCCCGGGACACGCTAGGGGACAGCCTGCAGGCCCCTGCGAGCCCCAGCTCCTCCACCAGCTGCCGCTGTTCTTCCCGAGACGGGGAGTTCACGCTCACCACCCTGAAGAAGGAGGCCAAGTTTGAGCTGCGCGCCTTCCACGAAGACAAGAAGCCCTCCAAGCTCTTCGAGGAGGACGAGCGTGAGAAGGAGCAGTTCTGTGTGAGGAAGGTGAGGCCCTCGGAGGAGATGCTGGAGCTGGAGAAGGAGAGGAGAGAGCTCATCCGGAGTCAGGCCGTGAAGAAGAATCCCGGCATTGCTGCCAAGTGGTGGAATCCCCCGCAGGAGAAGACCATCGAGGAACAGCTGGACGAGGAACACCTGGAGTCGCACAAAAAGTACAAGGAGCGCAAGGAGAGGAGGGCCCAGCAGGAGCAGCAGCAGCTGCAGCAGCTGTTGCAACAGCAGCAGCAGCAGCAGCAGCAGCAACAGCAGCAGCCCCCTCCAGAGCTCTGCACAGCCCCTGCTTCCGCTCAAGAACGTCCAGGCGGGACTGAAAAGGAGGACATTGTCACAGAACAGATTGACTTCTCTGCCGCTCGCAAACAGTTCCAGCTGATGGAGAATTCCAGGCAGACGGGGGCCAAGGGCCAGAGTACACCCCGGCTGTTCTCCATCAAGCCTTTCTACCGGCCTCTGGGGTCCATCCACTCGGACAAACCCCCGACCATCCTGAGACCGGCTTCTATTGGGGTAGCTCCAGAGGACAGTGGCGTGTCTGCAGCCAAGGGGCAGAAAGCCCCCTGTACGCTGGAGAGCCAGTCGGCGGGAGGAGGCCCTGGCAGCACCGCCCCTCAGGGAAAGGAAGGGCCCTACAGCGAGCCCTCCAAACGCGGGCCCTTATCTAAACTGTGGGCCGAGGACAGTGAGTTTACCAGCGCCCGGGCCGTCCTCACCGTGGTCAAGGATGACGAGCATGGCATTTTGGATCAGTTCTCGAGATCGGTCAATGTCTCTTTGACCCAAGAGGAGCTTGACTCAGGTTTGGATGAGCTGTCGGTGAGGTCCCAGGACACCACGGTCCTGGAGACCTTGTCCAACGACTTCAGCATGGACAACATCAGTGACAGTGGGGCGTCCAACGAGACAACCAACGCCCTCCAGGAAAACTCCCTGGCTGACTTCTCTCTGCCTCAGACTCCACAAACAGACAATCCCTCTGAGGGCCGAGAGGGCGTCTCCAAGTCATTTAGCGATCATGGTTTCTATTCCCCGTCCTCCACACTGGGGGACTCCCCGTCGGTGGATGAGTCCTTGGAATATCAGGCTGGTCTCCTGGTGCAGAATGCCATTCAACAAGCCATAGCCGAGCAGGTGGATAAGGCCGCGCCCCAGGCCAGCGAGCCTGGAGCAGAGCAGGGGAGACCTGACACAACCCTCGAGGGAGCTGAAACCAGAGCTGCTGGCCCCGAGAAGCCCCAGAGCATGTTTGAGCCACCTCAAGTGTCCTCTCCTGTTCAAGAGAAAAGGGATGTATTACCAAAGATTCTGCCTGCAGAGGACAGGGCTCTCAGGGAAAGGGGGCCCTCCCAGCTACCACCAACCGTGCAGCCCAGTGGCCCAGTCAACATGGAGGAGACCAGGCCCGAGGGGGGCTATTTCAGCAAGTACTCGGAGGCTGCTGAGCTGAGAAGCACAGCCTCCCTCCTGGCCACTCAAGAATCCGACGTGATGGTTGGGCCCTTTAAGTTGAGGTCAAGGAAGCAGCGGACGTTGTCCATGATCGAAGAAGAGATCCGAGCAGCCCAGGAGAGGGAAGAGGAGCTGAAGCGGCAGAGACAAGTCTTGCAGAGTGCACCGAGCCCCAGGACCAGGAACGCCCCATCGCTGCCCTCCCGAACCAAGTCCGGCTACAAAACCGCCCCAGGTAAGTGGAGGCTGCCTCCTGCACTTGGACGCGCGGGAATCTGATTCCAGCATAGGAGTTTCTGTGTGGAGCCTCCGCTGCGCGTGTGGCAGGGGGGCACTGGCATGAGGCTCTCGGCGCCAGGAGGGTCAGAGTGCCCTCTGGAGGAACCTGGAGCCCCGATGGTGTCTCCCACTTCCCAGCAGAGGTGGTAGCTCCTCGCCTGTGGTTCCATCTTGTCCTTGGCTTATTACACAAAATCGTTTTCTGTTATCGGAGGGGCGGCCTCTTGGCAGGGATCGAGTCGTGTATGACACAGAACCCATCAGGGTGGGCCCACCTGTGGACTGTATGAAGTCAGTAGCTTGACCTTCAATGACTCGAATGAAATCAAACCTATTCGATTTGGGGGGGGACGTGCTCTGCTAACCCTCAGGGGTGTTGGGTCCCTTCCTAGCAGTCCTAGTCGCGAGTCCGTGTTGCAGACTGACCCATGGAGGACGTCTCTTTCCATCTTCTGGGCGATCGGATTTGACTTCTCTTACGTCACCACCCGCCAGTTATAGGTGTGAACAGCTTGGTGACGGTCAACAGCAGACTGGTATGTGCCATGGTGGTTCCACGAGTATCCATCACCTGGTGACATTGTAGCCGTTTCTTGGGGTCAGTACCCTCTATGATGTTCATACAGGGATGAGGTGACTTAATAGTGCATTTCTCAGAACGTGTTCCCTGACCCTACGGGGTGCATGCCTGTACTTTGGAACCCGGAGGGGTCTCATCCTATTTAGGGGGATTGAATTAGGGTAAGCAAAGGCTGGCCTTCAGTCTCCTCCTGTTGTTCTCCCCACCCCCACCCTCTGCAGTCCCTTTCTGGAGTAACTGGTGTAGATGGTTGATGTTAGTTAGGGTAATTGTTGTTGCTCCTGTTATGGGTAACAGTGCATGTGAATTTGATGGGAATTGGGGACCCATGCAGTTTTTCTTAGAGAAGAGCTGCTCCTATGTCACCAGTCCATGCTGAGATCAGTGCAGACATTGATAGATACAGCATTTGAAAACTCCTGCAGCAAATTTCTATCGTCCTGAAATCCAAATGTGGGGTTTCGTATTTACAAAAATATTGGTCCACAATGGACTGGGGGCAGGAGGGATGGGTCCTTTGCCAGAGATAATTTTAGAAGCATTACTTTATAGTAAGATTGTCCACCCAGATCTTAAGTCATCTTGACGCTTGGCTTCCATTACATCTGTTATGACTCAAAGTCACTCTTCAGTATTGATTTTTAAATTTCGAAACCACTTCAAACCTTAAGAAAAATCCCCAAGTACAAACATGTTTCTAAGAGTAGATTGCCAAACACGGTGCCCTATGAACCCCAGTTTTGTAAAATGCCCCTCAGTTTGGGCCTTTCCCATGATGACATTCAGGTTGTGTGCGTCTTTGGTAGGAACATCATATATTTGGTGCTGCATCCTCACTGTCTCCAAACAGGTAGTAGCTGGTATTAGTGTGTCCCATGTCAGGGGCAGCTTTTAGCTCTGATCATTTAATATTATGATTATTATTTTGGTGGTGCTGGGGATCAAACCCAGGGCCTTGTGCATGTGAAGCAAGCACTCTACCAACTGAGCTATCTCTGCAGCCCTCATTTTATATTATTTTTGATCTCTTCAGTGAGGGAGAAGCTGCGAGGCTTCCACACGGTAAAGCTATCTTTTTCCATTTCCTTTGTGGGAGATACTTTGATTCTTTTCCCCACTCCTCTCAAATGTTAAATCTATTACTTATATGTCAGTATGGTCTTATGGAAAAGTATTACATTCAATAATTCAATAATTTATCATCTGTTTCTTGTTTTGTTTTGGTACCAGGAATTGAACCCAAGGGCACTCTACCACTGAGCCACATTCCCAGCCCTTTTTATTTTTTACTTAGAGACAGGGTCTTACTAAGTTGATTAGGCCCTTGCTAAGTTGCTGAGGCTGGCCTTGAACTTGCAATCCTCCTGCCTCAGCCTCCTGAGTGGCCGAGATTACAGATGTATGCCAGTATGCTTAGCTCGTCTATTTCTTTTCTTGTTTTTATCCTAGTTTGTTCAGAAAGCTCTCATAGGAGTCCTTTCAGGCTAACTTCAGTTCCTTTTGAGATGTCCTCATTCTTTGAGCATCACTTTTTAAGGATGTTCTAGTTTCATCTTATGCTTTTTCCAACCCTGAAATCATTCATATCTTCAAAGAGCACTTCAAAGAATGGTATTTAGAAACCAAGGTCTGGGTATCAGGTGTGCTCAGCGAATTGTTGCTGCTCCCAGGTACCCTCAGTGGACAGATTTAAAGATCAACTGATCTATCTATCTATCGAACCCTAAGTTAACCCTGAAATATTTTAATTCTATTCTAGTACAAGATTCATTCATGTTTTCTTCCTTTCCATATTTATAGCCTCCTTGGTGATATCAAAATGCCTTGATTATTCCAGTTATCCCCAATATTTCATTACTTGGTTAATCCCCCATCCCCACCATATAGCCAGTCTCGCATTTTCCTCTTCAAACATCGGTACCAACATCACTTTCTGGGTGGCCCCTGCCCACCCCTTCACCACTACCTCCTTAGCCCACTTGGGCTCCAACCCTCCCTAGGGAGTCACTGTTGTGCTCTGCCTACCTGCTTTGGGCACATCCCTCTAGGCCACTGTAGCTTCTCCCACCCCCACTGCAGGCACCACGTGATGACTGTTGGGCTGAATTGTTTGAGAAGAGAAGGGAAGAGGAGGAGGAGGAGCACAGGGATCTCCTTCAGGTCATGGCCACAGAGCCAGCTGAGTGCTTGAAGCAAGGAGAATTTTGAGAGAGGAGTTTTTGCCCAGGCTTAAGAGTGACAAGTCACCTTTTTTGCAAAGATTCTTAGTTGTCAGGTTTACTTAAAAATTTTTAATTGTGACCTGGCTTGGTACAGAGATCTGTTGTGCATCCTGTTCTGGAAAAACGTCTTTTGTACCAGCTTGGTTTCAGCCCAAGCTGGAGATTCAACTACATGAGTAAGTGGTACTAAGGGAACTTGAAGTCTCACTGATGGAGGAAAGTTCTTTGGGCACCTGTTCTCCTTCTGCTCACCTGAGAAGCAGGTACATAGATTTCCTACACATACCAGTTAGAGCTGGCTCTTGCTTTCTTTTGCACTATTTTACTGGAGAATCTTCTCTGACGCACGTATGACCAGCACTCTATTAGTCTATTCAGGTTGCTATAACAGAATACCATGGACTGAGTAGCTTATAAACAACAGAAATTCATTTCTCACAGTTCTAGAGGCTGGGAAGTCCAATATTAAGGTGCCAGCAGATTGGTGTCTGGTATTTCCTGGTTCATAGATGACATCTTCTCTTGGTGTCCTTACATACTGAAAGAGAAGAAGCAGTCAGCTCTGTATGGCCTCTTTTATAAGAGATCTCATATATGCATAAAGGCTCAGCCTTCAGGGTCTCATCACCTTCGAAGGTCCCCACCCTGTTGGTAATTAGGCTTCAGCATATGAACTGGAAAGGGGAGCACAAACATTCAGACCATAGAGGTGGGTATTTTGGTTTTTTTTCTACTCCATCTCTTAATTGAACACTCACCATATTGCCTCCCAAATTACTTCTAGCATGTAAACAGTTGCCTGATATAAAGACATTTCTTGTCATCAAGATTCACCACCAGGATTGAATTGGCCTTAAAACAAGTCAGGGCTTAATGTTGGCACCTGGCATCCAGCAACCCAGGACTACTTTCCCCACAGCTTCCCTCTGTGCTAATGCTGATCTCCTTTCCCAAGTCTCACCCCCACAGGATAGATTTTGGTCCCTTTAGGAAGATAGTAATTCATCTGTGTAAGTCTTAACTCTGTCCTGGTCTGGTTGTCACATTGAATGCAATCACCATTATGATGTGTGTGCCCCTTATTCCTCCATGCTTATTTCGAGAACATTTAAAGAAGATACCAGTCTTCCCAGAATTACAACATGGATAAAAAGAAACTGAATGCAATTGCAATTTTTTTTTTTCTGCCCATGCCTGGAAACCTTTGTAGTTTTGCTTGCCAACCAACCTCCAAGTTTGAGATGAAGGAGGAAGCTGACACATTAGTCTGAGAAGTCAAACTGAACAATCCATGGCCAGGGTCAGGACCGCTGGCTCTGACTTTGGTTTTGTGAGAGGTATTGCTAAGTCCCTACAGCATGCTTTACATTTCCTGCCAGAAGAAGTGACTCAGCTGGTTTGTTGTGACTCAGATTGAAGATTCAAAAATATAATTTCTAACTTCTGGTAGAAATATGCTGCAATCTTAAAACATTAAGGCAGATAAAATTTACTGATATCAAGATGCCATATGGAAAAAGAGATGTACTAACCCTTCCCATTGATAAATTATCTAGACACAAACCCTATTCCCTTAGTGTCAAAGAGGTTTGGTTTTGCTTTTAGTTTGTTTTGTTTTGATTCTTAGCTTTAAAGGATGGAGAATGATAGTTCTATTTTGATATAGCCATTTCAAAGACTTACTATCTGGAAAGTCCATGTTGTTGCTCTCATCTGACTTTTAAAGGAAGGAGCGCCATTGAAATAGAATTGGAGTGACATTTGTTCATAAAAGGTAAACAAGGTGGGCAGTCCCTGCTCTCAGGGAAGTTTTGGTTCAGTAAAGGAAATGACAGCAGCACAGAGGCTTTATGTCAGAGAATCGTGGAGACTGGTGAGAACACAGAACAAACAGTATATCCTCATATCCTCATTTGGAGGAAAGGGAAAGTCTTCTTTCCTTGGGGAAATAACCATCTAAGCTGAGAATTGGAGGCAAAGAGGTTGGGCTGAAGGGAGTGGGATAGATTGCTCCTAGAGAGGTTCAAAAGGAATCGAGAACTTGGCACACTTGAAGTATTTAAATCAGGCCAAGGTAGTTTAAAGGAAGAGCTTCGAACAAAACACAGATTGATTTGGAGCCAGGTAACAAAGAGCTACATCAATCACATTAAA